GAAGCATAGCAAATTTGGCAAGTCTAACACTTTTATTAAGAAAATTAAAAGTTCAAATCCTTACATAGATCATGAAAGTTTCGAGCCCCCATCAATATGTCTTACCTCTACTTGCGCCTTATAACTATAGGACTCATAACTTTATGTTTCCCGTCGGAGTCAGACCAAACCAACTGTCCAAACACAAAATCTCTAGACTCTACTTTACTCATAGGGTGGAATGTGACTACGAATTTCTTCTCTTCACCCATTTTTTTGAATGTCAATGTCTCCGGTTTAACCGATACCGAGACTCCAGGAGGTGACTTGATACGTGCAAAGTATGTTCCTGGATGTCCAACATTCTTTGCCCTTCGAGTGACAGTCACCTCACCGCTCAATTCAGAAAGTGAAATTGAAGGGTAGTTGAAGTCTGATAAGCTGTATGACTTGGGACATGCAAATGGCTTGGTTGCGAACCTTTTGAGCAAGCTTGTGTTGTATCCCCGACCGCAGAGGTAGTTCAAGTAATCATCAATCGTCAAGTCATAAACGAGGCCAGGATCCATTGCTTGGTTTGGTGTCACCTCTCCTGCCCCATACGCAAATGGAGTTGCTGTATCGTTGGTTGAAGAATCTTTCATCGGCGGCTCTTCATTATCGAGTGTTCTTGCTGAAAAAGAGAAATGAAAAACCCATTCAGAAAACTAAGCAAGTATTTTGATATGAAAGATGCTCTGTACAGAGAGTGAAGAGAAAGGTAAGTCTGTTACCCGTAGTCATTATTGCAGATTTAATAGCTGCAGGACTCCAAAGAGGGTAGAGTGTCTTGAGAAGTCCAACAACACCGGAGACATGAGGGCAAGCCATGGAAGTACCGAATAGTAAGTTGAATGGAACCCGGCGTTTATCAAACTTTGATCCAGTTGGTGAACTTGCTAAACTGAAAGCTGCAATGATGCCCACCCCAGGTGCACTGATATCAGGCTGAAATAATGGGAAAAGAAAAAAAGAAAGAAGTTTGATGCTTCTGGTTCAAACACTACTAGATACGAAGAAATACCAAGAATTCATCGATTGAATTAAACAATGCTAAGTTGCTAACCTTGAGAATTTCTGGATCTATGAAACTAGGTCCCCTGGAGGAGAATGCAGCCATGGATGGAGCCGGTTTTATACCCAATACAGTCTTTACAGGAGTGATGTTTGCTGTAGGTTTCCTGAGAATGTTCATAAATAAAATGAAGGAACAGTTAATGATTTGCTGAAATATGTCAAATCAATGAGTACAAAAGATTGTTACCCAGTAGCGTTGATGTAGGCATAGATAGTTTGACCATCAATGAAATTGACATCAGCAGCCGGGAGCACGTGAGCAAATGGAAAAGCTTCATTCCCACTTTGCTCGTCATTTGTTAGAATCATGCCAACAGCTCCGGCTCGTAAGGCCGCTACCCCTTTCTCTGTTGTTCCACCTCCCCCTTGAAGACACACCACAATCTTCCCCTTAGCCTTTCTAGGATCGAGTGAATCTAGCTCACACAGGTTGCTGCACAATTGTTCAAAATAAATAATTAAACAAAATGATTATATGCTCTGAAACACCAAAAACAAACTGTGGACTGATGACATACGCATCTACTTCTGAGACGTCATCTAATTTAGCGCTTGCACCAGTGATCAGTGGATAGTATTTCCTACGCGGTAGAGTTGTTGCAGAAAGACTCATTCCCTGGAAACGGAAACGGAAGCATCACAAATTAATTGGATGGTGCAACGATGAATATTTGATGGATACTGGAGTATATGTACCTTGATCTTCTTCTTGTTCCCAAGCGTGATATAACTTGTGAACGCTCTGTCAACTGTGCTAGCCCCAATTGTAAATATCCAGGGTGCCACATTGGACACAGTCCCTGGTGTTGGCCCAGAATTGCCAGCAGAAGCAACCACAGTAATGCCATTCTTGACAGCATGGAAGGACCCAATTGCAATTCCATCCTCGAAATACTCAGCTGGCGCCCCACCGATTGACAGTGAGAGCACATCAACACCATCACTAATTGCAGCATCAAAGGCAGCAAGGATGTCTGCGTCCATGCATGCACTGTCTCCAACTTCGGGCCAGCATACTATATAAGCTGCAACACGGGCTGCAGGCGATCTCCCACTTGCTGTCCCGTTACCATGGCCAAAAACATTAGCTCCTGGAACAAAATTGCCCGCAGCAGTTGATAGGGTGTGTGATCCATGGCCATGAAGGTCCCTCACAGTTGATAATGAGGTTGTTAACGAGGAGTTTAGTTGGTCACCAACTGATGCAGCTAAACCTTTGTTAAAGTACCTTGCTCCTATCAACTTCCTGCATGTAACATAACAACTCAAAATGTACACTGGCTATTAACTGGTGAGACATATAAGGGTGCCAACAAAGAAACTCTATTCCCTTTCTCATTACAATATATTTTTAATAGTCCTGCCCTTTTAGTTTAAGAATGTTGATACATTTTCACAGTTAAGTTTATAATTGAAAAAGGGGAATCTAGGCATTCACTTTTGTCCCCACCAAAAACACATGACTAAAGCACTCTATCTATTTAATGCTAAATTGAATGAACACTCAACATTGCTCTAGCTCAACTTCCAGTCTATATAAAAAGAGCAATGCAAAATATTTTACTTGTAAAACAAATCCGAGCAATGGTTTTTGCAACATGCAATCAAGCATCGTGCTATAGTAAGAAACTTGTATACCTTTATAAGAAAACATGTTTTTGAGTATTTTCAGAGTCACGAGTAAAAATGAAACATATCTATCCTTAAATGTAAAAATATTAGAAGTTTAGTCCTTAAATGTGAAGAACTTCATAGTTAAGGTCTTGTACTGTTAAGAGAAGTTTGGGGACTGATTTCATAACAATGTTTCCTGAACAAATCGCTTGATAGACTAATGACCCGTAAACGCACACTTGGCATGCGAGTGCACAGTGGAAGAAGTGCAGTGTAAAGAATGGACCTGCTGCAATGGAATTTATCTCCATTTCCACTTTGACAGACTCCACGCCACCTTGATGGAACGGGCCCATAACCTTCATCCGAAAAGCTCCTCGATTCCGGCCAAACACCTGAATCAAAGTTGTAAGATTAAATTCACAGACAACAACACGGAAAGGATAGTGAAAGCAGCATTGGATGGTCAAAAGCTATTTGCCATTGATCCCATGACTGTCAGATTCATACACACATGCCGCCCAAAGCAGTGGACTAACCAAAAGCAGTTTGTTTTCAAAGTATAATAAAAACTCGAAATGCAGGAATATAATAAAAATTTCTTAATTAAGGTGAAATTCAATGGATAAAAGACTCTGAAATTTACCGGTATCAAGGTTGCCAATGATGGTGTCTTTCCCAAACCTTGCCTTCTTCCAGATTGCTTCCGAAGGAATAATCCCGTCTCTTTTCAATCTCAAAAATTCCCATGAATGAGTTGTGTGCAGTTTCCTCGGCTTGTTTGGGAAAACAGAAATCACATCCAAACGTTCTACGTTGAATCAAAACAACAAGAATAAAAATCTAGAAAAACAGAGGAAAACAGAATAACCGCATGCAGGAATTTGGGACAACATAGGGCAGCAATTTAATAGACAAATTTCCAGCAACTAATGGGTAATTTGGGACTTAAATGGAGCTGCCACTTACCAAAATTCCAGCAAGCAAACCAGAGTTGCAAGCTAAGGGAAGGCCGGTGGCAATTTGGGGAGTAATTCGGGATCTATCCCAAAAATTGGAGAACCAAGAGAAATCAAAGTTAACCCAAGCCAATTCAAGGAAAAACAGAGAATTTAATGGCTGTTGCTTATCGAAAAAAGCCCAAAAATCGCATCACAAGCTGCAGCTCACTGAAAGGGGAGGGGGAGAAACCGAGCAGATCTGGAATTTCTCTGCAAGGGGAAGAATTATGGGTTCAATTTCAGTCCTAGAACAAGAAAAGAAGGAGAAATATCCAAGCTTTCTACCAGTTTTTCAAGGGAGGTGTTGTCGGGCTTGGGGGCCTTTGTTCGGCTGCAGGGGAGAAGAAGAAGAAGAGAAACACGCGGGTGAGGAAGAAGAAAGAAGGAAAGAAAATAGTTGATCCTTATCCAAATCCTTTTCTCTTTTAAGTCCCTCAAGTTTCAAAATTTTGACTATTAAACCCCAAATAATATTTCCTCACAATCAAGTCCTTAACTAAGTGCTAAAATATCACAAAATTTTGGGATATTACACTTTTATATCCAAAAATTATATTAAATTTTAATTAATTTAAAATCAAATCAGATCATATCTACAAGTGTAATACAACAGGGGGTACCTTCACTGTTTCAGCTGAATTAATGCTACGTTTATACAGTTTAGTTCCCTTTTAAATAAAATTTTAAAATTAAATTTTTGTAAATAAAAAGACATGTGCTACGTAAGCTTGTTTCGAGCCAAAAGGCACAAATGGATATGAAGCATGTTTTTTCGGACACTACAAATAGAGATTTTCAGAATACATTTGCCATTCTATCTAATTAGTCATTCCCTCACATTTATAATCGAGAGAGTTTAGTTTTCAATTTTATTGTATTATGAAGGTATTTTAATGTCATAAAGATAGTGCGATCACGTCTCGCAATTGG